CTCTAAAACATCACAGCTATCACATCAAAATATTAAGGAAATTAGCAGCACTATTAAACAACAATACATAACATACTGGAGAGAGAATATGACAAATGAAAAAACAAAACTGAGAACATACATTAAATTTAAAATTAATTACAATCTGGAAAATTACATTAATGTTTTGGATAATAATCAAAGAATATCAATGGCTAGATTCAGGACAAGTAGTCACAATCTAGCCATTGAAAAAGGCAGACATACCAATCCAAAAACCCCATTAGAAAATAGAATTTGTAAACAATGCCCATTACAGGAGATCGAAGACGAATTACACTTTCTTTTAGTTTGCCCACGATATCAAACAGATAGAAATGATTTTATTTCCAATATTTTATTCCCCAAAGAAATCATTACCAACCTGCAAAAATTCACATATTTAATGAAAAGTAATGACAGAAATATAATAAAACTTTTAGGGGAATTTTTGCATAAATCATTTATTTTAAGAAATGAGCTTTTTTTGGATATAATACCTTGACTCTTTTTTTTCTATTTTTTACGTTATCGTACTTTGATTTTTTTTTTTTTTTTAATCACTTATATATTTATTGCTGTAAACCAATAGAACATTTGTAATTCTAAGGATGCAATAAAGTTATTATTATTATTATTATTATTATTATTATTATTGTTTGTTGTCATCAGAGTACTTCGCTAGGACCTACAGGACTCTATAGTAAACGTGTCGCTCTCCATGACCAACTTCTACAAAGTACCGAAAAATCTAATTGTTGAAAACATCACTACCGGTAAGTTGAAGATTATAAACTGGAACTCGAAGGCCTCAAAACACATTCTGTGCCCAGGAATATAACGGCACACGGCGTTTGAATCAGTCACAGTACCGACCGTTACATCGCGAGTCATCGAATAGTAGCACCGCAAACCAAGGGTCATTCAATAACCAAACACTCCCTTGCTCCCTTGCTCTGTCCGACTGTGTGCGACCCGAGTCCACGTCGCGAGCTCAGTTTCTATTTACGAAATACCAAATATATTGATACTAATGGGCCCGGCAACGTTAAATTATAATGTGCCACAACGCCATTGAACAATCAATACGTCACTTCCTGAGTCCTATTCGTGAGGTCGTATCTGTGAGGTTCTATTCGTGAGGTATATAGCGTGCGCATACATCAATTGACTACAGACCACAGTGAGCTATTTGCGATGGCGCCCTCAACAAACTAGCACTTGCATGCTTGCTAACGCTTCAAATATACCTACATAAATGGTTTCATAAATGTGCATTTGCTTGAAAATATTGCTTTACCGGACGCAATGTATCAAATCAGGCTTCGCACAGAATTCTATGTAGACATAACGCAGAATTAATCAACAGCATATAACATACAACAAGTGTCGTGCTGTGGAATTGCGCCAGCTTACCTTAGTTAAATGTATTAGTATACATACAATAATTACTAATTCTAGACAAATTCCATTGTAAGTACAAATCAGCTGAGACTATGTGCTTTTTATTTATACACGTACCAGTCGTTTTAGGATATAAATGTAATCGGTGATGGAGTTTGTGGATTTGAAGACGAACAGTTTCAACACAACGTGTATATGCTCACCTCACCTCACGATGTTTCATAATCAACTACAAATCCGTCGAGACATGCAACACAAATAAAAATAAGCTCATATGCAAACAGTCTGGATCAAAATCAAGAGATAGATCTTGTCAAAGACCAAGCATTTTTTTTGGCGAGTTGCTGCATTAAATTTGGTCTTGTTTTATTTTGTTAGATGAAAATTCCTCGAGATTTCATCCGTTTAACCCGGGCCTTTATTACATTGTGGAAATGAAGAGGGCCATTACCACTTGTTTTTTTCTCTCTCTATGCGGAGAAGGTATATTAATTAATTCCAATGACAGTGAATAAACAAAGAACCCATGTCGAACATCATTCTCCATTTACAGTGCGTTTGGTGACCAGACAGAATATACATTGAGTTTAGTTCCGTTGATTGGTGCATGACGATCACATGCACCCATTATAATGTACATGGACACAAATATTTTACATGTGATTACCAGAAATGTGTCTCACAGTTAAAGCATTGCGAAATTGCCATGACTGAATACAATTAGTAAACAATGTATTCATTGAATTCTTGTAAAATACATTTATAATGTCTGTAACGTCACGTGAACCAAATGTGCGTACGTGATATCGTCATGGTAACAGGTGACCCGCATTGTAGGAACGAGTATTACGAGAGATGTGTATACATAGATGCAAGGCACACGTTCAAATATATTATATAAATATTTATTATGCACACAAATATTTAATATATGCATACGTAAAATCATCCAAATATTAAAATGATAACTATGCTAGCAGGCTAACAACGTAATATAACAAATATAGATAAAAAAGGTACATTGAATCATAAAAAGTTTTCTCAGAATAATACTATTCGTTACAATAACACCCCATTCCAAATTGGAGGTATCTGGTGGTTTTTCCGTGTGTGCTTTGTGAAATGCCACGTTACCGCGTGTTAGCAGTCTTTCAACAGCCATCACCGTAATTCACGGAGGCACAAACTGTTGGCGACGCAGTTAGCATAGTCGACTCCCGATGTAATCTTGTACGAAATGGTAGTCCCTGAATGTCTTCACAGCCGCATACAGACACACGGGCGTAGACAATTCGACGAACACAAAAATGCACTTTCCACAGTGTTATTTACTGTTTTATAATTTTTATTGACGTTCATTCCTGCTTCATGAAAGTAATTCATAAGTTCGAAAAAATTAGTGTACCATATTTGATGTCGTTATCTGAAATATTTCATAAAGTAGCCAATGAGATAGTGTTTCACAAGTCATGTGATACCCAATGCAATATAATGACAGTAGATAAAAGGTAACTTTTTTGTTTATAAATGTTTAATTTCACAGAAGCCTAGTTTATCCACTACTGTTCCCACAAGCATTTTATTGTCATAGTAACTAGCAACGCTGGAGCCTTTTAAAAACGAACCATCATCCATGAGAACTTGGTGGATATCTACTTTGTCGTAAGGGGCGCTCTTGGATCCAAAGTGAATTCTCAATACCTGATACAAGAC